GGTTAATTAAAAAGCCTGTTTTACGAGGCGGCTCTGCCCGGAGGTACGCTGCTATGCCGGCCCCTCTGATGCCAGTCCATGAACTCCACACGACCGCGCAGCCCCGCAACGTCGGGCGGGCACCAGGCGATGCTGCCGGGGCCGGGCATCCCACGCACGGGGCTTCGGGCTTCCGAGGCGGGTATTTGGGGTTCAGAAAGAAAAGGGCCAACCCCAGGTGAGGGGTTGCATAGGGGCTGTCTTGCTCCCCGGCTGCTCGTCCGTCTCCCATGGGCGTGCCTCGAGCAGAAGCGAGTCCTCTCCGTCGGCAGTGAGAGTCGTGCCTGTCGGTGGGCAGATGGGGCTCAGGGGAGTGGGGTGGCTCTTGCAGGAGCTTTTTGTCCTCATAAATCTCAGCTCAGAGCACAGCCCAGCTGCCAGGAGGAGGATTTTCTGCGAGACAACCCTCCCAGGCAGGGCGATAGGGAGAGGAAGTCCCAGGGAGGGTCTGGCTTTGGGATCCCAAGACTTGGCTAGCAGAGAGGGTGCAGCAGAGCAGAGGCAGAAGCGAGCACAGACGGGCTGTGACAGATCACGTGAAAAATCTTTCCACTCCTTCCTCCAAACACAGGGTTACTGATGGCCCTTCCAGAGCCTGGAGCTCTCCGAGTGGAATCTCACTGCCCAGGAGAAAAGCACCGTCCCACCAGCTGCATGGGGGGAAGCAGATGCCAGCAGCCGAGCATGGGGCATCACCCACCCCTCCCTCCCCAGCACCCCCAGGGGCACCCCAGCAGAGCGGGTGTTACCGGGCAGACCGCACGGGGAGCAGGAGCAGGGGGAGCCAGCCAAGTTATGTGGGAAATTACCTAATTACTGCACAAAATGAGCGAGCCACGGGGAAATGCAAACAAACAATGCTCAAAAATGGCCGGGCGCAAATTACCAGAATCAGCCCAATTAGGAGAAATAAGCCCCGTCCAAGTGCTGCTCACAAACAACCCCGGTAGCAGGAGGCCCTGATATTCTTCACCGTACTTGCTGCAATTTATGTCCAAGAGCTGTGACCCCTCCCCAGGCCTGCACCCCACACCGGCAGCCCTGTCCCTGCTGGGGTGTTTGGGGGGCTGAGTGCCTCGTCTGGCAAACAGCCCCATCGCTCCCCAAATGGAGGTCGGAGGGGAACGTCTGGAGGATGGGGGATCTCGGCCTGGATGGGAAAGTGTGGGTCCCTGGGGCGGCCACTGTCTGCAGGGGCAGGATTTGTCCCTGCAGCTTTGCAACGGGCATCGCTGATAGTCAGCTCATGCTGTGCTTGCAGTCGGGATCTCAGGGCCTGATGATATGAAAAGAGGAATGAAGGGAGGGAAGGAAAAGGAAAGAAAGAAGAAAGACAAAGAAAAGCAGAAGGAAAGGCAGAAAAAAGGAAGAAAGAAAAAAGGCAAGGAAGGAAGGAAGGAAGGAAGGAAGGAAGGAAGGAAGGAAAAAGAGAAGAGGAGAGGAAAGAATAAAGAAAGGCTGCACACAAATGAGGCTTAATTATAATAATGGTATGTAGCTGATTATCAAAGCTAACATTTAGGGCTGGATATCAGATACCATCTGGTGCTTTGCAGCAGGCTGGGAAGGGCCAGGAGAAAACAAACTCAGGTTAAATCACTGAGAGCGCTGGCTGCAGGGGGGCTGTGCTGGGGGCTGCGCTTCCCCTGGGCCGCTGCAGCATGTCCTCTGCCCCTCCTGCCTTCAAAACCCACCCTGCCACGGCCAGACCCTCTGGGGCCGGACCCGCCAGCTCTCCTCTGAACCACCGGCCACGGCTCTTGGGGCTGCATTTCATACTCAGGTTGTTCCAAAAGCAAAATCTGCATTGCATGAGAAATTCGGTGCTCGGGCTTTGAGCTGGTGAGCGAGCCGGCTGCTTTATGAAAGAGAATTTTTGAATCCTTTTGTCAACAGCTAAATGTTTCAGTTGACAAAGTCAATGCATGATGTGATAGTATAAATATTAGATTAATTGTACAGTATAGGATTTATATCACATAAAGATCCAAAGGAGTTATTTTTACCTCTATGAAAAATAAAGGAAGAGAGTTAAAGTGATTTGTTCAGATGCATTCCCCTCAAAAACTTTGTCAAAATCTACTCATTCCCAGGGAACACTTTGATTTTGATAAAACTGCGTTTCTCGGTAGAAAAACCGACCTGTCAACAACTTCAGCCAGCTCTGCTGAACATAACCTGAGCACTCATAAAGAAAGAAACTGGCCCCAGAGAGGCACTTCCCTAATTGCAGAGGCTGGTTTCCTTGCATGGGGCCACGGGAGGCCGGCAGCCCCCCCAGGGCTGCCCCGGTCCCCCCTGGGGGTTACACACCATGTCCCTGTGACAGCTGTGGGGGTCCACTGAGCCCCCTCACCCCGCGGTGCCTCGTCCACCCCATCCCTGTGCAGGCGAAGCCTCAGAGATGCTTCTTGTCGCTGCGGCTGCTCCCTACAAGCTCCCCCCAGGATGAGACGCAGCAGGAGCCGGAGGCTGATCCAGCATCCCTGGGGCTACCCAAGCTCGATGGCTGCCCCCCAGGACCCGCCGGGGCCCTCTGCTCACACCGGGGGGACGGCTCTAACGCAGCGGTGAGACAGTCTGCGAGTCTCCCCGTGCATCGAATGGGCAAAACCTGTCAATGTGGCTCTATCTCATTAGCTTCCCTTTCCTAGCAGTGAAAAATGGCAACCCGCAGTCCGCCTCGTCGGGGGGTTAACTCCAGCCTGGAGAAGCCCACGCGCCTGCCCAGGCTCACCCGGAGTCCCTGTGCCTGCTGCCTCCCCTCTGCCCAGCCCAGGTAGGGGCAGCATCTCAGATTTGAGTCATCCCAGGGCGCACAGGTGGGTTGTGCCGGCAGTGCCGAGCCTCCACCCCAAGAGCTGCGAGGATGGGCCGTGTCCTCCTGTGCACGCAGCATCCCTGCCCGGAGGAATGGCCCTTCCAGCCTCCGCTTCAACCCCTTTGTAGGAAACGGACCTCAAACCCGCGACCGTCTCTTTGTGCCCCGCCGACGCTCTCGGCCATCTGGGAGGAGCAGGTGTGCACGTGCGTGTCCGGAGCATCTCCTGTCGCTGCCGGCTGCACGTCGGAGCAAGGATGATCACCGCGTGTTTGTTTGCTCTATTTCCGAGCAATCGCTTTGCTTCCCGTGCCGAGCCTGACCTGAGTGCCGAGCCAGTGCGACCGTCAGCGTGGCGGAGGGGCCGCAGCCCCCCGGCACCGCTCTGCTCCCAACC